GCTGCTGGTTCATCCGATGGGCTTACCCTCCTCTCCCTTATAAAGTCATTCTTTTTGGAGGCAGTGTGAGAGCCCAGGGTGTGTTGTGCTGAAAGTTAAACAAACCAACGGAATTAGCTAACTGTTCAGACAAACCTGTGATTAATTGCCTTCTCCCCCAGGCTCTTACATTCAGAGAGAGGGAGGTGGGGGTGGGGGGAGTGCAGCAGCTAAATAAGATAAGGAAAGGGCTTGTTTACATAAAGTCCCAGATAAAAAGCATTAGATCTTTTCATGATTGAACTGTGCCTTGACACCTTCTAGCATGGCTTGGCTCTTAACACTGCCCAGTACAGATAAACCTCAATAGCCCGTATTCAGACTTACAGTATTTACTGGCAACTGAGCTATTGTCGACTTTTGATCTTGATCTTAATCCTGTCAGCTGGGTTACTGATCTCCTTACAAGCTGTATTCTTCCACTGGTTCTCCCCAGGGATATTCACTGTCTCCCTTAAACTTTGTTCTGTACACGAATGATTGTAGGAGTTATTCACCACTCTAGACAATTAAACTTGCAGACAACTCCGTTATTGTTAGTTTTGTGCAAGCAGATGAGTGGAGCCACAGGCCAGTTGTAGAGGAGCTTGTCACCTGGCCTGAACAGAGTTATTTGAAGATGAAACCAGAGACTCTCAAACCAACATTCAACCCTGCATCAGCGGTGAATAAGTGGAAATGGTAGATAAATGTAAGTATTTGGATTCTATTTTCAAAAAAGTGGTACAGTGTCCATTTTTCCTCAAGAAAGATGAAACATTTTAAGGTTAATAATTTGATGTCGATCATCATCAGTCTTTTATTGTACGAGCTTGAACTTTTACCCTGATTTTCTGGTTTGGGAGTCTGAATCTGAGCAGTAAGAACAAACTGGGGACAGCTGTCAAACTGTCAAGAGAGTCACTGGTGCCGATCTTTCGGCCTTATCGTACATCTATCAGTTATGAGTCTTGTATAAAACACATTTCACTCAAGAGGACCCTTCTCACCCCTTGTTTACTGAACTCCAGTTACTCTTCTCAGAACAGGGACACAGATTCCCCCAGTTAACAGACAGGTTTAAGTGACCATCTACACCTGCGGCTATGACCTTGCTTTACAAATGACTCCTGTGTATGCAAAGATCAGTGTATGGTGTGTTTTACAGCCGCAGACAATGTGTCTTCTGGGGATAATAAAGACTCTCTCTCTCTCAAGTGAAGTCAGTGAAAAAGTGGAATTTTTTGAAACGCTGGCCAATGTGCCCCAGAACCTGAGAGGGATCCATATTCCTCCCGTGTGTTAAACATGGGTGGTGCAACACTGATCAGCTGCCGTTCCTCCTCACAAGTCATGTCTCCAGGGCATCCTTTTCACAAAGTGTCCCGAGCAATGGGGATTCATTTCATCTTCGTAACTGTTTTAAGTGGAATGAGTGGAATGGGCAGAAAAGCGCTATGTAACATTAAGGAATAATAATAAAATATCTCTTTCTCCCAACCAGCTGTCCTGTTGAATCCTGCACAGCGGCCGGTCACAAAACCTCTCCAGCAACAGCTTCATTAATCATTAACCGGCTTTCACACGGCCCTGCTCTCCAATCCCAGAAGTTCAGCACACAAGGAACACAGTACTAAGTCCCTCCTGTAATTAAAAAATACAGCTCCTTTCCCCTGACCATGACATTCATCTCCATTTTAAATGTAGTTGCCTTTTGATGTAACAAAGGTAAAGCTTAAAAACTGTCCTGTACTTTTCCCTGGACTTCAGTAAGAAACACTGATACCTTATCTTTATCAAAGCGGATGACTTCAATTTTAAATACAATTGGTGTTTTAATTCCCTAACTGGTAGGGACTCAAGATAAAATAGCAGCACCTTTTCCCTTAACTTCATGCCAGTGTGTTAAACTGCCCTGTCACACCGGCTCACAATGGAAGATCGACCCACGATGCAATGCAAGCGATACACAGATCTGAGCTTTGTGAAGGCTCAGTTGTGTTAAAAGTGGGATTGGTGTGGGGGGGGGTGAGGGGGAGTACGCAAAAAATGCCTAGGTGCCTGGAGCCCAAAACAGTTTATTCTGCCCCTTTTCAGGTTTACCATACTTTCCAAGAAACGGACAAGCTTTTAATGCTCATGCTGTCGGTAGGGACTGCTAAATGGTCTTTACGATTTACGTGCGAATTAAGCAGTTGAACATTTAAATAAGAATAAAAAAAGCAATGACTTTCATCTGCTGATGTAAACAGAAGCAACCTGTCTAAAATGCTCCTGTCTGAGCTCTTTTCAGCCCATGGGCTAACTCAGGCAACCCCCAAGAATGTGGGCACAGCTGGTGAAGGGCTGTCCCAGAGCAGATGTTGCCAGAAAAGCTCACCCTCCAACGGTGCCAAAGCGACAGTACAGCCCCACTACAAATAGCTCCCCCCAGACCCGACAAAATAAAGGGAGATCAATAATCACTTCATAATCGGTTATTCAGCAAATTATCAACAGGGGTATAAACACCTGCTGGTGCTGCAGGAGCACTGACAACAGGATCACAGGTCAAATCTCGGCCCAAAGGGAAGGAATCAGTCGAGTTACACAGGCCAATTGGGAACCCCCTTATAACAGGGCCCGGAGGATGCTCAGATGCTAAAAACACAGGGTCGAACCCATCAAATCAGAGACCTGGACTAAGCGCACGTGGATACAGCTAGCCGATGTGCTGAATGTCATTTTATGTAACGGCACAAATTAAAAAACTGAACAAATTGTTCAAAGAGTTCCCAAACACTGTGCTGCCAGAAACAATTTGGCTGATCACGGCTGCCAAACAAACACTTAAAAAAAAAACGGGCAAGATTTGACAGATGACAAAGTGGTTCACAAGTGAATCAATACGTCACTAAAGGGCTAATTCTGAAAGTGCACAGAGGAGGTACAAGCAATGGGCATCTGTCCCTCAACACTGAAGTAGAAGAAATCACCACCTCTTAAAGCCAGTTAGAAACCTTTTAACACACGCACACTCTGGATGCTGGGGGGAAAAAGTAGCAAAACAACATAACATTAGGAGCCATAAATCCATGAGATTAAGTAACCCAGCAACTCCATCTCAAATAAAAAAAAGTAAAATTAGTTTCCTAATCTCTAGATTTCTACAAGATAAATGATTTCTCTCCACCAAAACCCAGACCCCACTCAACCTATTCCACCAAATCTGGTTCTCAAATACCAAAACTTCGTATTTGAAGTTTTGGTATTTATATCAAAAAACCCTAAACTTCGACTTTCTTACCTCAGTTCAGACCAGGTGCTGGTGTAGCGCAGCTCTGTTTGTGCACTTTCGGACAGGATCTCCTGATCTTGTATGCTCAGCCACCCACCCCCCTTCTCCCTCTCCCAGGAAAGGAGTGTCTGACTCTGTGTGTCCCTCCCTGGCAGAGGCGGAGGCAAGAGAGCAGGTAGCAGTGAGGTCATCTCGAGACTCCATCACTGTGGAAATCACTCCCCCCCTCTCCCAGCGCCCCCCCCCCCAGAGAACTGTGCAAACACACTCATTACCTGAGCTAGAGGAGCACTTAACCCATTCAGGCCCTTAAAAGCTCAAGATGAAGTGAATTTGTTGAACCTCAATTAATCCTAGCTTGCTTTTCCAATCAGCCTTAACTAATGGGGACATATCCAGAGTGTGTTGTACAGGATGCTGCAAATAAAAAAAAACAGTTTATTTAACATGAATAGCAAACTAACCAATACACAATCCCTCCAAAAATAAGAAGTGTTAATGACTATAATTCCTCACACTTCTATAGCGCTTTTCTGGACACTCCACTGAAAGTGCTTTACAGGTAATGGGGACTCCCCTCCACCACCAATGTGCAG